AACCCAAACCTCTGCTTGGAGAGTAGCTCACACACATTTCATTCTGGTGCAGTAAAAACGGGCACATACCGAGGTTGGGAGAATCCAGTTTTTGAACACAGTGTGGTTCTCAGTTCCTGTGTCATTTAGCTCAGGAAAATGCCATGACACATTGTGGTGCTTGCTGCTACCAGCCCTCATGACAGTCAGACTGTACAGAACACAAACCACAGGATGAATACCATCTTACAGTAGCATTTCAGTAATTGCCAGTAGCATGTTAGTACTGTCAAGACAGTAACTAGCAGTAAGAGATCAGTTCCTTGCAAATTGTTTGTTGTTATCTGTACAGTACTGTACATGAAAACTCACCGATGAAATTTGAAAATACTAATTACGCTATGAATTGAAATGAAAATATCAGCACCTACTCACTCCATAGAAACAGAAAATAAGGGCAGTCAGTTTATAAGATATGACTGCTTTTAAATCATCTTCTTGATGCAAAAGTATTTGTCACCACTTTCACCCCGTAACTGAAATGCCATACAAATTGCTTTATATTTTGTTCTATTTTGCTTCATTTCACTCTATTTCATTCCATTTTGTACTTTGTGTACACCCTACAAATATAGTCTGTAAGATCAAAACGAAGACCACGCTCACCCTGCCTGGTCCATGTTGGCAGACATCTTGTTGGGAAACCCTTGCAGAGCCCAGATGATGACCAACAGAGAACAGAGTTTCATCTTTTTCAAACTCTCCATCTTGTTTGGTGGCGATCACTAGACTCTTAGTATAAACAGGAATGACAAGTGTTTCAATCAAATTTACATCAAATTGTTTGCCGTGTATTGCCCTGGTGCAACAACCTCTTTGGAATCATATACATGGGTGTGGGAGGAAACAGGTATGGAATGTCATCAATATTGAAAGGCATTATTACTTCAAAGTGTAATGTCCAAAGTGTGCATGTATTGGTCGGGGGTGGGGGTGGGTGTACAGTACAAAATTAATACAAAAAAAGGGGCGGACTACATAGAAAAATTAACCATTAATATCATGTTAAAATTACAGAATAAAAACTGAGTAGGTGTTGCCTTAATAAAGCACTTTCTGTTTTCTTGTTTTCGACCACACCTTGATCCAAATTTGTACACAGAGGCATCATGAATTACAACTAGTGTACATAATATGATTTTCAAAAGAAAACACCTCAATTACTACTGTAGCCTGCTATATTATGGACCATTTTTTCTACTTCCAGACCATGTAATCAATTATGATTATATGATGCTACCTCAGAGAATAATAAAAAATGAATAACCCACAATGTACTAGTAAAAAGATGTAAAGTACTAGCTCCTACCAATGCTACCAGGATATGGCTCGTAGAATTTCTCAAAAAAAGGGAAAAATAATTTGCTATGAGAGTCAGTCCGCAGGTGTAGTTTCCAGCAAATGAACTTTATGGTGGCTAACCTCCCCTAGAATTATCAGTTTGTTTGTTTATTGAAAACCAAAACCCATCGCAGCCTCGCGGCTGAATTGTGAGGTATTTGTACACAAGTCGCACACACGTTACAATTGCTAGTATCTTATTACATTTTGAAAAATACGTTAAATTGAAATTACATTTTACCACCAAATACCTAGCCAATTATTCTCTGTATTTGGCTAAATTTTACATTGTTTTTAAACCTGTGTACATTAGTCTATCTGGTGGACTAGTAAAGTACCCAGTGACCTAATATGCTTGAAAGATTAACTTTCATCTGAAAAATATCCAGACAATTTCCGTTTCAACCTCAAACAGAAACACCAAGCGAATCTATCACCATAACAAAGGTCTTATTTTATAAGTCTTTTAGCAAAGCAGGAAACATGACTTACCCCTACTGCACCAGAGCTGAGTCTAGTCAGGTCTTGAACGTGGGTAAATCTTGAGACGTCTGACTAAAATTTGAAGCAGCTAGACTCATCTACCCTTGAAACACGTGATTAACTGTAAAACTAGCTAATACACATGCAGGTGTGTACAAATGTCAGTCTTACACTGGGGCAGAGGAAACTAGTTTGCAGGAGGGTCTGGATGGGGGGGATCCTGACAACGCTTTATGGTAAATTCAGGTAGGCTGGTAAACTCAGTTATTCTTGTGTAAGGCTTTGGGAATTACTTCATCTACCCTTGACACATGTGATAAACTGTAAAACTTGCTAATACACATGCAAGTGTATACAAATGTCAGTCTTCCACTGGTGCAGAGGAAACTAGTTTGCAGGAGGGTCTGGATGGGGGGGATCTTGACAACGCTTTATGGTAAATTCAGGTAGGCTGGTAAATTCAGTTGCTCTTGTGTAAGGCTTTGAGAATGACTTCATTGGAATGTTCTCTTGTATCTGTGTGGTCCCTGGCAAGCCTTGTCTGCAGACCTTAGAAGCTACGTTATGACGTTGGGGCAATTTGACCTACGACTAACAATAAATAATGCTTAACAATAAAATCAGAATAACAAAATGCTACATGGAATAAAAGCGACCAATTACATTTCATAGAGAATTTCCTGACAACCCTTAATGTTGACTTGAAGTGGTGGACTACAATTAATGGTGGAATAGAATGGCTCACCATGCCTCACAAAAAAAAGGCATGCAGACCTTCTTGTACAACTCTGGGGAATACAGTGGGGTAAGGTCCTTGAGCACTAATGCTGTGGACGTCATGGGGAAAGTCCTTTAGCTTTTCAGGATAGGAGGCAGGGAATGTACTTCAGTAGGAACGTGCAGAAGGAGGGGAATGTCCATTGATGCTACAGAAAGGGGGCAGGGAAGGCAGTGAAAGATTAAGTACAGGAAAGAGGGGGAAATCCATTGATACCACAGATGGGGGCAAGGAAGGTCCTTCAGCACAAAGGACAGGGAGGAAGGTCAGCAGTAAAAACATCCTTCAGTATTAAATTCAGCACTACAGACAGGGACATTATTAATTCTGCAATAAAAACATGGTACAAGGAAACATGATATTCAGCAATAAGGACAGGAAATCTTGAAATGACTTCTGTATTGGTAGAAATCATTATGGAGCAAAATTAGGTTTGCACTGTAATTTCCAATTTCTTATGTTGGACATTATACTTCAAACTTGCTCCATAAGGACAGGGGATGTTATTTAACACTAAGTATGGTACAGAAAAGTACATCAGTATTAAGGACAGTAAATAGGGAGGGTCATTCAGCACCAAGAGAAGAAAATGTGAAAAACTGCAGGATGTTTTTGCTGCCAACCAGAATAAAAGTGCCATTGAAACCACCTTTATTTACAGTTGGCACCTACTTTGATATTAGTCCACCAAAGTCTATGAACAAGGCAGACCAATTCTGTCTTCTAAAGTCATCCCTTTCAAATAACAGAATCAGCCTGCGAAAGGATAAGTTCATGAAGAAAAACAAACAGAAAGATGAGAAGATTTTTCCACTGAGGCTGAAGAACACAGGAGTCTTTTATCTTTAACCTTGTCCCTGCTGCTTAATCCAGTAACCAATGGAGAATTAGTAAACAGATGCTTCAGTGTGTCTAACATCAATGATTGGGAGGGAGGGAAAGACCATTCAGCACCAAGGTCAGGGTACAGAGATGGTCATTTAGCACTAAGTACAAGGTACAGGGAAGGTACTTCTGCACTAAAGATAGGGTACGTAGAAGTATGAGGGGTCACTATTTAATCATCATTTTTGTCATTTTCAGCACTAAGGACTGGGGCTAGGAATGTCCTTTGAGATCAAAGAAAGGGTACATAAAAGTATTAGGGATCATTATTTCATTATCATGTTTTTTTTTCCATTTCCAAGACTACTAAGGACAGGGAGAAGGAAGGTCTTTCAGCAGTTTAAGTGTGGGACAAGGAAGTACATGTATTAGGCATCACTGTTTTAATGTCATTTTTTTTCAGAT